TCTCTTCATTGCCCTTCTCTTTTACCTCTTCATACATATTCATTCCATATCATCTTCTGTGGCTATAAATAATTCTTTCCTTCACTGATCTATTCCTGAATAATTCAAATCTAGTCTGAAAGCTCTTTGACAACTTCGAATATTTAACCATGAGTCTCTTCTAAAGCCATTTTTAACATGTAATAACTTTCTATAACTTTAAGATTTTTGTTAATAACTGCTCATATTTGCTGAGCACTTACCACATCCAAGCACTATCGGCACGCTTGATTTTCATTTATTTACAATTTTCACACTTCCCCTTCGAGATACGTACTACTTCAGAAAAGGAAACTGAGGCACAGAAAGTTTAGTTTTTGCCCAAGTTCACAAAGCTAGGATGTACCACGCTTTCTGACAATAAATCTGTGCTCTTGACAGTCAGTCCTGCATAAACACTGTCTGCTGTTACTATCTCATAGTGCTACAAACATACTGATTTAAGACCAAACTACTATGAAAACAAACCACCGTATTTCAAATGATTCAACAGTACCAAATGATTGTCAGAGGTGGTTTAAATATCAAATATTAAAAGAATGAGACAGCATTTGCAAAATTGAAAAATGGGGACACCTGAATGATTCCTAAAAGCATTTGGCAGGTGAGTGTATGTGTTCCCCTACTGATGTTTCTTCCAAGTGAGTGGTTTCTATTCATTTTAAACCCCTCACCCATCCTATCTCTTCTTCCATGGAAAGCAGATTGACTTCTATAGTTGGCTAATTTGTGAAAAATAAACTAGGTATGCTTGCTCAGCGCCACCAGTCCTCCTCCTGGGGAATAGCTACCCACCTAAAAGATATGCTGCCTCGTTGTCTGGTTGAACACTAGCTGACCCATCTGGTCCTCTCACTACCTACATCCTCCAACTCAGCCTTTATTAGTAATAAAAATCATACAAATTTGTATTTCCTATTTGACTTACTCCTCTGTTTTCTTCCTCTCTTTGTTCCGAATTATGAAGAGGGGTACTATTTACTGAGCCCCCAAAAGCCCCAACGGATAGCTCATAATACAAATTAAACTGGTCATCAACACATTAGGACAGGGTAAGTAATCTGATCTATGGAAAATAGTAATATTCTGCAGTGAAGTAAGCATTTTCATCACAGAAAAGATAGGTAATTCTATCATCCAATGGAAAGTGAGGGTTCTCCTTTGTTCAATATACAAAACTCATCCCACCTATTTCACCTTTGTATTTCAAGTTTGGAAAAAAAAAATCTAGTAATTCCTATAAATAACAGAGAACAAAAGATACATATTTTCAAACGGGACAAATTTTTACCTCACTTCACTTCAATTCTGGCAACAAGTTATTTAAGAACAACTATGGGAAAAGAGGCATGAAGAGGGCGTTTTTACAATCCCAAGGAAAAAATATATATTAAAAAAAAAAAAATCAAGCAGTTCAAATTCTAGCTCCTTACAACTGATATTCCCAAAACATCCCCAGGTAACAATCAGATCTACATTTAATCATAATATACTTGCCCGATTCAGTTATAAGCACACCTAATTACAAAGTGGTTCAGTAGGTCCTCAAGTTGGCATATAAGTCATTGAGAAATAAAGATAAAAGAAATTCAGAAAATAATGAGTGACAAATCGCTTGACATTTTAAGAGAAAATACTAAGGCTCAGTAATCCCTATTAAATATGACTGTTATGTGACTAAAAGTCAAAATTAACACCTTAAAAGACCTTTAGAAATTATTTGGTAGGGTAGGCCTTTTTACTTTTAAGGATGTCTCAGTAGCTGACCATATATATGATAGTAATCAGCTAGAGCTTTCTTTATTCACTACCTTACACCACATTTTATTCGTTCTCTAATATTATACTTTATAAGAAAAAAATCCTATTTGGTACCTATTCATATCTGCAGGTGTCTTGCAGGCCCCACCAATATATAACCCATGAAACTACTTCTACTGCTTTCTGAAAGGAGATATTTTCACTTGGAAGTCTCATTACCCAAGACTTTATAGACTGCACAGGCATAAATAATATCAAAGAAGTAATAAGTGCTTCCTATACAGGGCAACATGTACTGAAAAATGTGAAAGCTATTTGTTGTACTTGTGGCCATCATGAATCTTGCCTGTGTTTTCTATATTTGAAAATTTACCATATTTTGAGTCCCCTCTTTCCAAAACAGAAGCCAGAACTCACTTTCCCACCTTCCTCTGCTGGCAGTGGGATCCAATGTTCACCAATCAACTGCATCCATACAGTACTTTAATTCAGAAGTAGTAACATGAGGCAGCAAATGAAAATCCCATCATTTTCTTGACAGAGATGATAGAAGCATCCACCCTTCAGAGAAAAATAGGGATGGCACTTCTCAGATCCAGCCCCCAGCATCACTGGTGAAAGTTGTGATGTCAGCATGTAGCTTTGTAAAGGGGCAGGGCCCAGAGTATGATTTGAGCTGTGCTTCTGTTCACCTAACCTGTTCGTCGGGTGTCCTGTAGATTCTGTGAGCTTCCAAATGTCCTTTAGTGTATATGTTTTTTGGTTGGTTTTTTTTTTTTTTTTTTTTTTCTGCTTAGGTTAGCTAGAGAATAGATTATGGGTTTGCAACAAAGAGTTCCATGTTATACAAAAATTGGGGCTGGCAAACTATGCTTTTATCAACATAATGGTAGAATGATTACCAACTCAATAATCAACTCAGCAGTCATCTGCAGAAAGTGTATCACAAGTGTGGTACTGTGCTAGAAGCAGTACAAGAACAAAAAGGAAGGGGAGGAGGCAGAGGCCAGATCTCCCAGGCAGAAGAGTAAGAAGATAGGACTGTGACTCAACACCTCAAAGGGAATCCATGCAAGCAGGGAAGTGAATGACATGATTCAGTTTACTGTGCAAAAGATCATTCTCTTCCTATGTGGAGATAGGGTGGAGCAGGAAAGCAAAGTAGAAACAGGGGAGTAATTGGGAAACTATTCTAAAAAAGTTTAGATTCAGGATGTAGCAGTGGCAACAGAAGTATGTATACAAATTCAGTTTGCATTGGCTGATAGAAGATACTTAACTGTTTCACTAACCAAAAAAATGTCAGTTAAAATCATACAATTTCCCCCAATCAAATCAGCAAAAGTTAAAAATAGCTAATATAAATCCTGATGAATATGTAGTCGAGGGAGGCATTCATAAACCTCTGAAAAGCAATTTGTTATATTATCTAGCAAGTTTTAAAAAAATTATCCTAACTTTTGACTTAATAACTAGCACATAGTCTCAGATTGTTAAATGAATTAATTCAACTTTTAGAAAACAAAGTTAAAGAGAAAATTAGGATTTATGCTCAAGGCTGTAATTGCAGCACATTTATATTGAAAAAAATTGGGGTATAATCATATGTTCAACCCTTAAGGAGTGGTTGAATTATAGCTTATGATAAAGTACTAAGCAAACTTTAAAATCATGTTCATTAAGGGGTTTCAAGATATGGGAAAATATGCTGACATTATAAAATCTTACAAAATTAACAAAGAATAAAGAGTTCCAGAATTTTTTTTAAGTTTATTTATTTGAGTAATCTCTACACCCAACATGGGATTGAAACCCATTACCCCCAAATCAAGAGTCCCATGCTCTTCTAACTGAGCCAGCCAGGCACCCCCCTTTTGTCTTCCTGTTGGTTAAGTTTTGATAAGAGAACTGAATGTAGAGAGCCAGCAAATAACTGGTAATAAAAATTGGTAATAAATAAAAATTGGCAATAAAATCACTACCCTACTCTACACTCAAAACTCAATACATATGCCCAGAAAACTCATGTTCAATTCATTATATATTGTATCTTACACTAAAATTTTTTTGTTGCCCTTGGTACTAAAAAAAGGAAGCAGGCAAGTTTCAATGTTGTGGTTGTCATAGTAATTTAAGAATAAACACGCATGTTCGAAGTCTACTTGTCACTCTGTATCTCCAGCACCTAGACAGTAACTGGAGTTCAAGAACTATTTTTGAGCAAACATCACCGAAAATAAACCTTTCGGTTCCAGCTTATCACCACAGAAATTTAAAACCTCAAAATGAAAAAGGTACATACAAGTAACAGCGATAGTGATAATTTATAATGTTTGGGGTGGCTACAATGCATGAGGCACTATTTAAACATTTTACCCGCCTTATCTTTGATCCTCATAATAATCCTTCTCTGGAAAATTCCCTTTTCCATTTTTAAGGCCAGGAAACAGGTTCAAAGATGTAAAGGAACCAGCCCAAGGTCACAACCAAGTTTCAAGGCAGCTCTTCTGGCGCCTCAATGTAGCCAGACAAGACACGCCGCTGTTTCTTTTCCGCGATCAGAAAGGAACAGGTTTTTCCTCCATACTTTCCCTCCACAGTTCATTGACGCTCCCCTAACTTCTACCCTGCGCTGTAGCTATCCCTTTGAAGATCCTTCCCTCACCGGCCAAGATCCCCATAGACCTCCCCTCCCCGCCGCGACGTCCTCGGGGGTAAAGAAGCAGGTGTCCACGCCTCTAGGTGGCCCCACACTTGGAACCCCCGCCTGGGCCCAGCCAGGGGCTCGCCCATCCCCCTTCACCGGTACCCTCTTAGTTTGACTCTCCAGCCTCGCCTCGCGGGTCAGGACTCACAAACCGAGTCCACACAGACTCCGCGTGGGCCCCTGGGAAAAGCCTCGAGGAGCGAGGAAGGGAGGAGCGAGGAAGGGAGTCTCCGCCCGGAGTCGTCCAACTACGCGCCAGGGCGGTTTCCACGACAACCGAGAGCGCCCCCCCCTTCCCCGCCCCCCCCCCACACACACCCGGTTTCCACGACAACCGAGAGCGCCCCCCCTTCCCCGCCCCCCCCCACACACACCCACCCTCCGCGCTCCAGACTCCGCCCCCGGCGCCTTGTCGCTTCGCCCCTCCCCCGCACCCAAGCTGGGACCAGCCGCGCGGCGCGAACGGCGAGAGAGATGGGGTGAGCTCTCTCACCTCTCAGCGCCTGATGCATGCCTCCAATGCCGCTATACAGCTCCAGGACGCGCAGGGGCTCCATGCCCACGCCGCCGCCGCCGCCTCGGAGCTAGGCCTGCCGGTCCCTTTCTCGTCCTTCTTCCGCCCGCCCTGCTCCCTCGCCTCTGGTTCCGCGGCGTTTCAGTTCCCCCTTTCCTGCCGCTACCGGCTCGGAGAGCTGCTACCAGCGCGGGGCCCCCCGGGACTGGCAGAGTCAGCGGGGAGACAATGGGCACAAAACAGTGGGGCCTCCCCAGTGAATAGCAGCCTGATTTACGCCCCATCTACCTTCTAGAGTGCATTCAGGGACCTTGGAAGGAAAAAGGGCGAAATGTCCCTTTGCCCCAAAGTGAATTAACACGGGTTAGACGCCAGAAAAAGTCGTTTTCCAGGCGTCCTGCTTTTCCGTCGCTTGGAGCTCGAAGTGTGCAGACCTTACTAGCGTGTTTTGAGCACGTACCACGTGCCAGGTGTTGTGCCTGTGCCGGGGCTGCCGAGATAAATCCTCCTTCCCTTGCGAGCTGGTCCCGCAGTTACAAGCACAGAAACCAGCGCCCCTGCAGCCCGGCCCCAGCGCCGGCCAGGACCGGAGGGGTGGGGGGTTGGTGGGGGCGGCTGCTGTCATTGCTAGTGGGCTTCCCTGCATCTCAGCTTGGAAAATGGCCCCCAGCAGGATCTACTGTTACCATAAGGTAGAAGTACTTATGCCCCTCCCAGTGCCAGGGCCTTGCTGTTCCAAGATGCTCCAGTGACCAAGTTTGTTAGATCAACAAAGTAAAAAATGGCCACGGCCACGAGAGGAAATGATCTCATTTCGCGGCCTCCTATTGTTCCCATTACCACGACACGTTAACCTGTGTTAGGAAAAAAGGGGCAATACCACTTGTAATAAGTTAATAACTGGTTTGTTAGAAACTTAGCAGATGTGCTAATGAAATACTATAAACAAAGTAGGACGGCCCTGTTTTGATTATGGAACTGATCCATTTCGATCCGTTTCCTCTGACATTTTTTCACTGTAAATGTGTATGGGTGTTTAAACGTTTTGTTTTTATTGGTCACTTACTTCAGGTAAGGAGGGTGCCAGAAAGGGCACCTGGGTGGTTAAGCGTCTTAAGTTGGTTAAGCGTGTGCCTTCAGCTCAGGTCGTGATCCGGGGGTCCTGGGATGGAGCTCCACATCGGGCTCCCTGCTCAGCGAGGAGTCTGCTTCTTTCTCTACCCTTCCCCTTGCTTATGTTCCTTCTCTCTCTCTCTCTGTCAAATAAATAAATAATCTTAAAAAAAAGAAGAAGAAGAAGAAGGGTGGTAGAAAGATAACAGAGAACAGAATCTTAGCCCGGGCATTGCCAATGACTTTGCACTGAGCCTGATTTCCCCTTCTGTCAAATTAAAGGGAAGGAAAAAGGGGAAATGATTTCTGAGGTCCGGGCAGTTCTAAGATTCTAGAGCTGAATTCATTTCTGCAAAAGTTGAGTCCTGATTTGGCCACATGTTAATTATCTGCTCAAATTGAAATTATCAAGATATTTGTAAAATCTGCTTTAAGCAAATGTACTCTTAAACCAACTCCATTTCTAGAAATCACATGCACACTAACATTACATATATAATGCATGAAACAAACTTTTCTTGTATTTATTACATAATAGCATAATATGTATTATATTGTAAATAATATAATTTATAATGTAAATTATAAATAATATAAATATATATATTATATATATACACATATATAAAGGGGGCTATATAGTCACAGTGATTTATGTACCATTAACAACCAATATACTAAACATACCTAGAATCTGTTTAGCATTAGTACTGTAAGTCAAAATAAATATAACCAAGGATCTAACCCTATAGGGGAGAGACAGGCCAAAAATATGTGAAAGAGTTCACAGAAAATACCAGTCTTTTGAGAGGAAAGGAGATGGACCGCCATTCCCTCATAAGCCAGTTCCAAACTGTTCATGCTGATACTTAGGTGTCTTCACAGTGTAGCACACACTTTTCTTTATGATCTCTGTTTCCTCCCCTTCTTCAGTTCTGCTGCAGACTGAAATGGTCGGCATTCCCCTCTTTCGTGCCTCAGTTTCCCAGCTTACATTCTTTGCTCACGTTCTTTACATTGCCCAGAAATCCTAACCTTCTTCCAGACCTACCTAGTGCAACCTTCCTTCTAGACTCCCAGGCTAGAAATCCAGAGTTGTTTAATTCCCCAAGCAAACTCCATGACCAGCAGTGTTCTGAAACACATATCCCACCTGTTCCCATCACAAAATCCTTTCAGTGCTTCCCAGCCCAGCTTTTACCTTATATACATCATCTCTTTGCCTAGCATTTCCTCTGTAAGGCTTATCCCGTGTGACAATCATTTCAAGAATGAGAACTTTCTCCCTAATCATGATGTATGCCCATCTCCATGAGAGCACCTGTAGATGTCAGGCCCACTCGGATTAGGTATACATCCATTTCCAAACCCTGGAGCAAGTTGCGTGGGCTGGGCACGCGGCAACAGGAGGAGTTGAGGAGGAAGGTAGGATGGGCACATACAGGGAACATGAAGATACGCATTAATTACTCTTTCCCAAAGTGAATCCCAAATGTTCTTACAGAAGGAAAACAGCTTTCCAATCTTATAGTTTCCCATAAAGTTATCCTCAGTAACATGTCCAATAGAGCTTACATTTTAATCACAGACACTCATCACACTTTTTGAAAATACAAGTATTTTTAGGATATTCAGTCTCCTTTCCCTCAAAACACAAAAAATGCACTTGTAAAGAAACCCAAAATGCTAGTTAACACCTGGCACATACCACGCATATCAGGAATAATTAAGGAGCACAATAGAACACTAAGGGTATATTAGAATAATAATATCATATCTCAATGATTTAAGAGCTCATTGTATAACTTGAAATCTAATGATATTTTATTCTTCCTCTCCTGGCTGTCATGTCGCCGATCATTAATATCTAACAGAACTAAACAAAGTCTGCCAAATGTTTAAAATACTTTTGGCAATCATCTTTGAGTTTCCATGATCCGGGCCATTCTTTATTCCCCAGCGAAACATGATGTGGATCCTTACACAGGTTTGCTGCAAATTTGAGTGATGAATAAATTACATCCTGGTTTCACACAGAAAAAGAAGGGTCTTTATGAATTGCATGGAAAATAAAAAAGTAGTCATATGGGAATAAAATGGCAGTAAATGTCCTCAAGAGAGGAAATGAGATTCAGAAGAAATTTGAATCAGAAAGACCCTGAGAGTTCATCTATCACTCGTGAGCCCCCACTTTTTCTAGGCCTTCTACCACCGCCCTGATGGGCCAGCACGAGGTCTCAGCTGTGAGCTGCTCCTGGGCACAGCAGGCCTCACAGAGTGAGGTGTTTGTGGTGAAGAGCTTGAATTAGTAGAAAATCCTTCTCTGTAGTCCCCCCCAAATCCAGTTCCTTTTAGATTTGCCCTTTGCACTGATTTTGAAGAACTGTCCCTCTTGAATAATAAATGTCCTTGTGGTTAAAACTGCAAGGCTGAGAGCCAGAGAGTTTAAATAGGAAATTGTAGATCTGCTGCCTCCTAGCTGTGTGACTTTGGGAAAGTCACTTACCCTCTCTGAGCCTACAGACACATCTACAACGTGTAAAAATAGGACATGTGGTTGCTACAAGGATGAAGTGAGAATTCAAAGCACTTCATTCCATGCCTGGCACAATAGAAAAGCATGTTTAATAAACAGTATACATCTCATGACATTCTCAGAGTGATGCATTCTCAGTCCCTTCAACTGTGTCCAATGGCATGATTCTGACCCCTGGAATTGCTCATGCTGCAAGGTGGTGATGCTGTGTTAGGAACCATAACTGAACATGGGGCCCTAACTGAGGTCAGGTCAGCATGCCACAGGGTGGTGCTTATAGCCATAGACTCTAAGGACTGTAGGGAACTTTGTGGGAGGTGTCCAGGAGTAGCCTGGGCTGGGAGCAGAAAGGCTAGATGTCTGTAAGCCAGACGCATGACTGAGGAGGGGTTGCTGAGTCTAGAAGCATTGGCAGTAAGAAAAAAGACAGCAGCACGCATAGATAGCGCCTCACTCAGAACTCTCGCAAAGACCAGGGTAGCTTGAAAGTTAAATCTACGGATCTGCCAATCTTAGGGGAAACTTACGAGGGACCTCACCCAGGATGCCTGAGTAGCTGGGACTAGGAGTGGAGTAAGGTGAAACCTATTAAAACCATCCCGTCACCCCTTGACTCTTATGTGCCAAGCACTGAAGAAATACTTAATTTAAAATGGTTTCATACGTAAAAATCTGTAACCTAAGCCCTTCAAGTGCCAATAATAAAGAACAACTTATTGCCTTCTATCCCCTGAACCTAAGATGATTTTACCAATTCTATTGGTTCTCCAGAACTATACTGTCCAATGGGGTCACCAACAACCACATTTGCTGATTTAAGTTTAAACTGGCTTAACACTGAAAACTCAGTTCATCAGTCATACGAGACACCTTTCAATAGCCACATGTGGCTGGTGGCTGAGGTACTGTTCAGCAAAGAGAGGACATTTCCATCCTCATAGAAAGTTCTGTTGGACAGAACTACTTGAAAATCAGACTCTTGAAGTCATGACCTTGATGGGTAGCCCATTCATGAATGAGCAGTGTTGAAGTATGCAGCAAGTGCTTAAAGATTGTACTTGGATTTTAAATAAGTGCCCCCCAAAGATTTAGAGTAAAAGGAACTCCCACGAAAGCAAACCTTATAGCCCAACACTTCTGTTCTTCCTCTGGTGTCTGGTCACCTTGTTCACAGACTGTCACAAAAGAAAAGACGCAGGAACAGCAGGTTTCTCTTTCTTCCAAGGGAAAAAGAACAGATAGAAAATGATGAACTTCACGATGTCTCGAAGGAATGGTACTTTTCCTTTGCAAAGTATATTCTAGTGACTTCCGATTGTAAATATTACCTTACACTTACCTCAGAAGGAGGAGGAGGAGGTGGGGGAGGAGGAGAAAGAGGGGAAGAAATGCTTTTTTAAAAATTGGAAACT